AAAATTTGACAGTATTCAAATTTTTTTATTCAATTGTTGTAGGAAGCATTATTCAACTATGAAGTCTATTACATACCAGCAGTAGTAGAAATTGTGGTAGAAATTGTAGTTTCTGAACATGTTTGACAACAAGATGCCGTTTGTGTACCTAAATTCAATCACAAATCAGAACTCTATAATACTACATAATAAATGATTTTCAATTATAGGAGCAAATAGAATACTAAAGAAATAATTTTCTGCATAATACAAGTTAGAGACATTGTTATTCCATACCATGTGTAGCAGTAATAGTTTTTGTTTTTCTAATAGTAGTCGAAAGAGTGCTTCTTCAGCTAGGAACATAGCAGTTTTGTGAAACTCACATATGTTTTCGAAGAAAATAATAGTGAGTGTAAGTTTTAAGTCGAAGTTTTGGAGCTTCCCCTCCTCCCCATTACAGACACTTAGCAACGGAAGTCCCCATTACAGACAGGGTGTGGGTGGGTGTGGGTTTGGATATAGCTGTGGGTATTCTCTTTACACTCACACCCACACCCACCCTCTACTGTACATATCATCTATATTTTAATTAAATCTACTCTTTTCTTGGTAAATGTAATGATTATATCGATAGCAATATCAAATTAAGAAAAAAGAATTTTAAAAAAGATGAAAGATATGGGTAGATAGCAACCAAAGGTTCAAACAGGTTGCTTTTTTGACGACTTGCTCTTCCTGTGAAGGCCTGTCAATTTTTTTCAAGCGCATACAATACTGATGATGGAATAGAAGCAAAAATATTATTGTAGAGAGGTAAGGAAGTCGTTTGGATTCATTTAAGATACTATTATAATCATTTATTAGTTGAACATCTTGACAAAGAATAATAACTGAGTGAATAAAAAGACTGTGGCATTATGAAAAAAAAATTGGCTTTTTTGTAAGCACATCTTGAATAGATATGACTGATGAGAAAAGGTTTCCAAGCGTTGACTCAAGGATTTCGACGAAAATTATATGAAGTTTTCAAGTACTAATATTTGACATATGAAAAATTAACGGCTGAGACCAAACGAATCAAAAATTTACAGTAAAAATATTTTTAAATTAAAATCCCAAGTCGACCACAGGTGAATTTTTCGATAAAAGAAACTTTTTCAGAAAAATTTGAAACAAGCATAAGCTGACTAAGTTGTTGCTGGTGATTCCAAATATGGAGTTAGTTTTATTATAAAGAAAAAACCACAGATCAGATGGCCTGTTTGGATCTCTGATAGCAATGGTGCGACAAAAATTAGGACGTTCGTATTAATATAAAAATTTCGATTATAAATGCAGAAATCAAAGAACTGCCTATTCTGATGGTCAATTCTTCTTCAAAAAAAAAAATTATCTGCGAGTGATTTTTTACATCCAGCATTTTGTGTTCGTTACGTAAGACTAGAAGGTTTACATAAGTTCCACATTTTCGCTTCAAAAGATCTGCGCTGCCAAGCTTTTTTATCATCCTAAAATGAGATTATATCCACTCTAGTAAAAAAGAATCAAAGAATAAGTTCAAATAAACCCCTCCCCGCATTAGAAGACCCCGGGTCTTCTATTATGTCTCGTCGTAAAAATTTCTCAGGGGGGTCTTCTATTATGTCCTAGGCTTTTTAGCAATTATTAACTAAATGTGGTTTTCCAGAAAGCCAGAGCGCTTTTCAGGATTCTCATAGGGATTTTCGCGGTTTTAAGGGTTGAGGGATACATTTGGACCTACTTTCTAAATATTCCCAGCTGAAAAACCTAAAAACTGTGCACTTCTGGGCGGAAATTCTCTAATTAAAGTCCCTAATTAGCAAAAAATTAATTAATTAAAGGGGGTCTTCTAATACGCCCGATGAAATTTTTGTCCAGGGGGGTCTTCTATTATGGGGGGGTCTACTAATATGGGGGGGTCTTCTAATGCGGGGAGGGGTTTACTGCACTTCAATTGTTCATTGAGATTTCCTAGAACCCACTTATATTTTCGAAGATTTTGTACACAAGCAAATTCTCAGTTTCTAAGATGCTAGAATTTCCTTAAAGATCCAACAAAATTGCATAACAGGCGGACAAGGTCTTATTTACTTTTTGTATTTGCTTTCTTAAAAACTGTATTGAATTTTTTTCTGATTTTTTACTTCTTCGCTCTTCTTTATTCTGATCTAATTCATTTTCATATTTATCTTTTTCCTTGCTACCTACAATGAAAAGCAGATCCTTCGCTTCTAAATCCACTAACAACTGTATCGTGTTCAATTGTTAGTCTTCTAATATCTTAATCATTTATTAGTAGTTTCTTACCGGATGTTTTCACAAGCAATGCAATCCCTATGCCAAGAGCTGTTCCAGCAATTATCAAACCAATTAAAGCTCCAATTAATACTACAACTGAGCACCAGCAACAATACCTTAAACAGTTCTTGCTTCATCAATCAAATAAGCGATGAAAAATATCTCACTTATTGAGATCTTCTTCTACTTGTTTATATCTTTCTGGTTCTTGCTCGATATCATTGAAGTTTCTTACTGGACTTCTGCGCACTGCCACAATTCTATTTGATCCCCACATCGTGTGCTTTTGTGTTTCTCGAAAGACGAATTGTATAAAAATGAAATTTACAGTTGCTTTTATGTCACTTAAAAGAAGCTTGTGAAGTTGACTTTTTTTTAAATGATGTAGACGAAGCTTTTAAGAATTCTTATAAGCAATAGACTTTTGATAGCAATGAATTCCCTTTCGCATCCAATTAGTGTGCGATAAAAGTTTCGTTTGCATTGAAATGAACTTTTTATATTATTTTGATGTATGAGAACAAAATGCAAGTCATATATATACAGAGGAGTTCGAGATATTTACTCGGCACATAGTGGTTTTCTGATTGTTTGCTTCTTCTTTGAGTAAAGTAAAAATATATGAATACATCCATTTTTAATGAATTGTTGAGAAAAGAGATGGATTGTGTGGGGTGAGAATGTGGATGTTGGCGAGAGTGGAGCTGTGAACCTATTCTGTCTTCGCCGACACCCACACCCTTCTATGAATCTCGGTGTTCATTTTGACGTAAAACATTAAGATTAATAGTGTGGATAAGACAGACAGCTAGCTAACGGTGAACGCAAAGACAAAATCAATGTGAAAAAACTAGCTAAGGATACAGAATAGCTCGCTGGATTAGTAATAATGGAACATGGTAAATATGAAAAACAATCAGACGAAGTCTTTGTTTGACTGAATGTGAGTCTGAGTCTGATAAGCGTTTAACTGGTTCCTGTATGAGTTATTTTTCTTATCACCATAAAGTTAAAGTGTTATTCACATCAGAGCGGAGTATTCTAGAGATCTATTTTATTCGCTACAAACTCAGGATTGACTGAGTAGATCTATAAATATGTACAATATCAATAAAACGTAATGTCTCATTTTTTAAGTAATTTATCTTTTTTTATTTCATAAAAAATGATAGGTTTTTAAAAGGAAAAATTAACAATAATTACCTATTTTGATTATAATATCATCAATTAATTGATAATTATTTGATATTTAATTCATCTGGAATAACTTCGACACAATTATATGACAAAGATATAACTTTGTCGGACAACATAATTTCGATAAGACATATACATGCATGAATGCACACATCTATATTTACATACATATGCAGATTCATTCATACATGCATACACCTATATATTCATACATATACACATATGTACAGAAATACTACTTATTACAAAAAAATTGCGTTGCCAATCTTTCTTCATGTTTTTCTGTTGTCGTCGAGAGTAAGAACAGGTAATATCAACGATTTTTTTCAACCAATAAATCGTTATCATTTTGTATGATATTCCCTATACTAGATTAGTAATTTAAACGGTTATTTTAAATTTTGATAAATCTTCTAATATATCTTTTATTGTTACTATATACAGGGTGTGTAAAAATATTATTCTAGGGGAGTAATGCTATAATTTCGCATAGAGTAAGTAATGAATTTTATACCAAATGAAAGCTCGTTGAAAACGAGACTTATTGGTACTAAGTAGTAAGAGTTATCAAAACTTTTCAATGTCGAACTTAATAACTTTTCAGAAATTTTCCACTTTATTGGCATAGAAAATAAAAAATGCCAGTAATTCGAAAATGAAGTAAACGTTTTGTCTTCGATATTTTTACATGGTTTGATGGAGCTCGTTGAACTCTACAAAATTGTATATATTAGAACTTCTTTAAGCCATTTTCTGAGATAGATAATTCAAAAAACTACTTGGCAAATCTTCAAAAATGGTAAAAAATTCATTTTTTTAGATGAAAGAAAAAAAATTTGATTCTTCAATAAAATTAGTTTCTTTCATTACTTTTTATAGCCACAGACGCTTCGAAATATATTCATCAGATGCAGCGCAAAAAACTGTGTCTAATGAGTATATTCCAAAGCGTTTGTGTCTGTGAAAATACTGGAAAATGCTAGTTTTATTGAAGAATCGAATTTTTTTTTCTTTCATCTATAAAAAAAATGAGTTTTTACACATTTTTGAATATTTGCCAAGTAGTTTTTTGAATTATCTATCTCAGAAAAATGACTTAAAGACGTTGTAATATATACAGTTTTGTAGAGTTCAACGAATTCCATCAAACCATGTAAAAATATCGAAGACAAAACGTTTACTTCATTTTTGAATTACTGGCATCTTAATTTTTTATGCCAATAAAGTGGAAAATTTCTGAAAAGTTATTAAGTTCGATATTGAAAAGTTTTGATAACTCTTACTACTTAGTACCAATAAATCTCGTTTTCAACGAGCTTTCATTTGGTATAAAATTCATTACTTACTCTATTTGAAATTATAGCATTACTCTCCTGGAATAATATTTTTACACACCCTATACATGGGAAGAATACGAAAAAATTGATAGATACTATTATACGTTTACAACTATCTGTACACATAGACCAGCTTCTAAATACAACACTATAAAAATATTTGTTGTTTTTTAATAATTTTTTTTTAACGATATGTAGAGAGAAAAAGAGAATTATTTAAGAAGAAATTAACCATATGTCTTTAGATTAATAAATAATTATTCACACTGGTAGATGATCTGTCAACTCTCTCCGTCGCACAAAATAAATAGAACTGGCATAACGCCTGCTATAGAGTTCGAGTTGAATGCCAAAAACTAATGGCAGACTCAGATTGGAGAGTGATGAAGGCAATGTCAAAGATGTCTGTTTAAGGAAACATCCAATAATTACAGGCTTATGATAGTTCATCAAAATCAGAGAACATCTTGGTTCAGGTCGAATCCAGACACCAAATGATATTATTTCAATTTTTAATTTCGTTAAATTATCTTGAAACGTGCATGAAAAGAGTTTATTATGATAATATTTTTAATAAACAGAGAAAAAACAAATTCTATTAATTGAATATTTCTTTGCTTGTGCCAGTCTAGCTAAAAGTATATTCTTTGATATGTGATAAAATTGAAATAAGAGAAAATTCTTTTAAATTAAAAATTCTAGTTAAATAAAATACTTTTTATTATATTAATTATCTGCAGTAGTTTCTTCTCTTATTTTTATTTTTTTGTTAACTCTTTTTTAATTTTTTCTTTTGTATATTGGTGTTTTATCGGTATAGAGAGCAATCATGAGCACTATTTTAATCGAGATATGAAACGTGTCAGCGAATTACTGTTGCATATTTTGTATTTCATATATTCAGACCTATTTATTCTCTGCAGTTGTAAAAGAAATCGCAAAATAATTTTTGCAGTCGATAGTCACATGTCAAGCTTATGAAAGGAAGAAAAAAATTTTTTTCAATCTATATGAAGAGAGTGAAAATTACGCATCAGTGAAGTGAGACAAAGAGAAAATTTGCAACATTTACTCAATACGACACTGATCCTTGTGTTACTTCTGTGTGCTATTATCGATCAGTCATTCTCACAAGACGTACATACACTGTTATTGTTCAAAATGAACAATACCAAATATCATTGTCTTGATAGTGAGTGTAGGGAATATACAGAATATAGGAGTATAGGAAGTATGCGTAGTAGAAAGAGTATACAAAGTATAAGAGTTTATAACGACTACAGGAAGTATAAAGAGTACTGTATATATATATATATAAATGCACGAGATCTGGCTAGTATTAATATGATTCTACGATCAATTCTATGTAAATACATATGTGAAAAGCTTTACTTATATAAAAACACAAAGTTGTGAAGTCATTGGGGTCATTTTTATTAATTAATAAGAATAATCCCAGAATTCTTAGGACGATTTGACTAGAAGGCGAATACATAGTGGTATAAATTCTGAGGTCACTTTTGTTCACTATGGCAGTATGAAATGTTAGAAGAAACTATTGCTTATATACTAAAGAAAAATTCTGGGATCATTTTTATTCTACTGTATAGAGGAGAAAACTTTATTACTATATTAAAGAAACATTGACGGGACAAAATTTTCATTCAAAATCAATGTGATTCGATGCAGTTTTCGATTCTGATTCCGAATAATATATCCATTTCACTATACATTTGTATTATGGTAATGAAAATCGCTAAGAATATCTGGTTTTTATTGAAAAATCATCAAAAATTATTAAATATTAAAGTAATGTAAGCCATTTTTCATCCCAAGCGAAAACTTTTTTTAAAACATTTTTTTAGCCATTTTGTAGAGGGAATATTATGAAGTAAAGCGGTAACGAATAAGCTGACATTTCTCCACGAATACTAACTATGAAAGATATGTTTGCTATAAATATTAGATGAATCAACATTTATTAGTACGTCAAATGAATTCGTATTTTCGATGAGAAACATTAATTTAATATCAAACTCTCGGATCTTAATCAGAATTGAATGTTTTACTACTGATATAAATTTTGAGTCAGATCAGAATATATTCAGTCAAGATATCGAATATATTAGCTCAGTAGCACAGAAAAACCAATAATAGCAATAATGATATATCTCAGCATAGAAGGCTTGGAAAACCAAATCCTTGTAAGGTGTTTAAAAGCTCACTAAAGTCTATCGTTTGAGTGTAAAGTCAATTCAAAAGCGATTGGACACTGGACATGTTCCCTAGCCACATGAAAATGAATTTATTCTTCAATTTATCTAATCGATCTTCTTTTTTCAGCATATAAAAAGTATTTCAATCACTGTTTACTATTCATTGACAATGAAGACGATGAGTTGCATTTGTTGTCAAATTTTCTATGTTCATTAGTTGGGAAGTATTAGTCTCTTTTGGTAATGAATAAGACACACCAGCAAATGAAATATTTGGTAAGTTCTTCTCATGTTTAAACAAAAATGCTTTTTTTTTTACAAGGAAAACACATTTTTTCCTTTACTTCTGTTTTATAGGCTGTCTTAATCGATTTATCTGACGAGATGCGTAGTTAATATCGTTGAACCGATTTAGAAAGACAATTTTCAAAGATCACACGTAGCATCCTAGTGAAACTTATTAGTTATGAGGTATGGTATATTGACAATATCAGTCTTTATTAGTAGTGTCGAACTTGAAAGTTGTATACTGTCCTCACTACACATATTGTTTGTATTGTTTTTGACCATTTTTCTAGGATAATCTTTTTACCATACAGTCAATTTAAAGAACGTAAAAGAGAGATTCTTTCATCGAGTTAATCGCCTGTTTGTCTTTATGTAAGTGAATATAATCATCTACAATCACATATGACTTTTTTTATTCTTTTTCAGTGCAAGAAATATATAAGCAAGCCACCAAAAGAAAAGGTTTTGGCCGAAAAAAAATATTACTGATACGCTTGCCGCTGGTTCTTTTTCAGATCCACGGTTGAACTAATAGAAGTAACTCAGCGATTAATTGATGTGGAGGAATGCGGTCTGCACTGTCATCATCTAGAGAGCCATAACTTTCTGGTATTTTCCCTTCTAATAAATGGAAATGAATCGTTGTTTGATCAGTCTCTCGTTGTTCTTCAGAATAATAATTGTAATAATCAGAACCAACCTGCATTGCATATTCTTTGACACTTTCCTCATCCACTGGTTCTTTGTGTTTTGTAATGAATATTGCCGCAGTTTCATCGGAATCTGGATGTAAAGCAAGAATCTTTCTTAGACGTGCTAATGCTTTTTCATTTCCATTGTATTCTAAAGCATAGAGATGTGGTACATTGTAATAAACAGATGTATAGATAATATCATAACGACGAGAACCGACAGTAACAACTGGATCAGTATTGACGATAGAATCTAAGTCCAAAGACATTGCTTCTTCTTCAAAAAGTGAAAAACTGATGGGAATTATTAACGGCATTTTTGTCTTAGTTGATGTCAATTCGTTTATAAAAGACACTGATGACAATTTTTTTGCTTTATCTATTTCTTTTTTTTTTATTTCGATGAGTTATTGCACAACAAGTTTTCATATTTAAAGTAAAAGATATGTAGAGAATTACATTTCGACTAGTGATAAGCGAAAAACAATCCATGACTAAGAGTGACTTTTCTCGCAAATTTGACGCATGTAATAAAATAACGAAAATTAAATTTATAAATACATAAAAGTAACACGAAGAAAAGTATAAATATTGACTCACAAAGAATAAATGTGGAGTAACATTCGTTGTCAGTTAATGTGGGTATGAAGAATAACGAAAGACAAAGCTAAAGCTATATAAAAAAAGATGAGATACTTGATATGTTATTTTTCAAGTTTTACAAAAAAAAAAAACATTTTTGCAGCTTAAGAAAGATAAGAAGAAATTTAACAGCATATAAAGAATTCTACTTTAGCATAGTTTTTTTTACAGATAAACGAAAGAATGGACTACAGTTACTTAATATTGACTGTAACTCTGATGTTCATCACGACGAGAATGCATTCTGTTACGGCTCAGCAATGGACTGTTTCACCGCTTTGGATAAAGTCTGTCGATATGTACAATGAATCAGCTCTTAATGTTAGTTGGCAATACAGCACTCAAGAAACTGAACCGTCCATTGTATTCTTATCCGTTATCATTTACAGGTTAAAACCATTCGGTGTATTTGGAACAGTTCTCGCACTAGATGGACCACAACGATTTAACTATACCTCAATAATGATTGTTAACAGTGACTTCTTAAAATCTAATGTATACTATGCTATCGCTCTTGAATATAACACAACGTATTATTATGGAGCAAATCAATCACAGAAATTTTCGGTACGAACGTGGCATGGACCAATTAAAATGGCAAACACATCGATACCTAGTAAACAAACACAAATTAATATCACTGCAAATTCGGTTGTTGTCTCTTTGATGTGGCCAATAGAAATACCGTATTTTGAACTTGAAATGAACGCGAAACTCGATGGCATGAACACATCATTGCCAATCGAAACTCTGTCAAATGAAACATATTTAATAAAAAAATATCAATTTCGCAATTTATTACCACAGACTCGCTATCGTCTTAGCACAATATTCAAGCAAAAATATCTTCCAAATATTGGCTGGACTGTATCAGTAGAACGCACATCAACAATAACAACTTTAGCAGAGTATGCTTCGTCTGCCTCGACGAAATTGTCCTATCAACAAACTCTTCTGTTATCTATGTTTAATATCCTGTTCTTCAATTTATTTCCACCTAAATAGCCTTAAAAAACTTTGACTTAAATAATAACGATATAACTTTTCGATTTTTTGATGGTGACGATGGAGGGTGTGGGCGTTGTTAAACAGAATATCTACACCCTTTCACACCCACACCCTTGCTTTTCTTACAAGAGATTCTTTTCCCCGAATATCAGTCTTTTCAAATCAATTGATTATTGATTGGACCTTTTGAATACACTTGTATTTATTCTTGACAGAGAAACGTACAAAGCTCTGCTGCGTCGTGTAAGCTTTTTTGCTGCAAGCAATCTGGTTGAATAAATACATCAATGGTTAGCATAATCGAAGCAGCTATTGACGCCATTAACATGAAATACGAAGTATGATATTTTTCGATTTTTATTAATACTCATATGTTATTATGCAAATAGAAAGGTACTGATATCATATACATACACTTCCTTTATACTATTCTCTATAAATAAAGTTTTGAAATAAACATATGTGATTTTTCTATAGTTTTAGGTTTTGTTCAAACTATAATTTAAAAGCTAAACAACTGAAAAATTCTGAAAGATGATTAACAGCGAGAAAATTAATTCATATGATAGTAATCTACCAAAAGCACGACGAAAAACGAATTTTACCATACTCTGTATAACATTTCTTCTTGTGTATACATAGTTTAATGCAGTTACCAATTTACAATCAAGTATTCATCTAGATAAGAAAGTTGGTTATTATTCATTAGCAATTATATCTGGATGTACAGCCTTTTCATGTTTATTCTTTACAAATCCTCTTATCTTCTTATGCGGATATAAATGGACAATTGTATTAGCTCAAGTCGGTTTTCTCTTCTATATCGCTGCAAATATCTATCCAAAAGTATGGCTTATGTATCGAGGTAAATATTCGAGAAATATCATATTCCTTCGTTATCTATTGTCTTTATAAAGCTTCCGTTGTTTGTGGTTTATTTAAAGCTGGTTTTTGGACAGCACTTAGTGCCTATGTCAGTGATTTGAGTATTGGTAAAGCGACTGGACCTGTGGCAGATGCTGCCATTAACAAATATTTTGGGATCTTCTTTTCAACATTTCAAAGTGGTATGAGCAACGTCATAGAGTATTGGTCATATAGTGTCTTTTTTTGTGCATCTCTAGGTCAAATTTGGGGCAATTTAGTCTCCTATATTGTCTTAAGATATAGTAACAATAATAATTATAACAATACACTATCGATGATGATAGACAATTCTAGTCAACTACAACGTGGTGCTCATTTCTTAGAAAATGAACAGAAAGAAACAAATAGATCTACTGTCATAGCCAGTTCAACAGTGAGATCAATTCTTTATTTATTTTTTTATTTTTTTATTTGAAAATATCAAATATAGGCTTATATTCTTTATGGTATTTTTATTGGAATAATCATCATTTCAATCATTCTGGTTATTCTAATACTGGATCAAAAACGTAAATGGAAAAGTATGTCAATGATAGAAAAAATGAATTCGAAATTTCATTGTTGAAATTTCTAGAAGCGACAATAAAAGATTTAATCATCGATTCTCGGCATTTTGTTGTTGAAACATTTAAACAGATGAAATCTGTCAAACAACTACTTTTGCTACCTTTAGCATTTTGGATTGGAACGTACTTAGGTTTTGTCTATGCAATTTTTACAAGTGTAAGCAAAGAAAGAAATTTCTTCCAATGACTACTGATCAACTTCTTTTCTCTTAGAGTTTCATTGCTTGTACTCATGGATTATCTTATGTTGGTCAGTAAGATAAAATATTAAATACTTTCCCATGAAATATTCCATTTCTTTCAAGGTTTAATCATGATCACGTATGGTATTACTACTTCTATTTTCAGTGTCATCGTTGGTTGGCTTGAAAAATACAAGATTCGTATACCTTTTTACATTCTCGCGGCTATTCTATGTTATGCATCATACATCGTAATGCTTGTATGGAAACCAATACCATCACAAACCTATGTTTTATTTATATTAGTTGGTATGCAAGGCATCGCTGGTGCTATTTGGGATCCGATAGAAGCTGGTAAGTGAAAGATTTTTATCATCTGTTTGAAGTAGTTCTTCGTATCTAGCATTATATGGAATTTTATTTGTGAATAAAGAGGAGGCGGCGTATTCGAATTTATGGTTAGGTCAAAATATTGGTTATTTTGTTGTTTATTTATGTGGGCCATCATTACGTGTTCAGACAATAATTATCTTACAACTAGTATATTTAACAATAGCTTTGCTGGGATATTTTGCTGTGGAAATTCGACAATATAGAAAACGTCTAATGATTGCCTCTATTGATAATGATTTTAAAGTTTCTACCATTTTTTAATTTCTTTTAA